GGTTATTATTCGGACTCAGCGGGTCAAAATACTAATTATCTGGTCCCTTAGAGAAGTTGATCAACTCCTGCTCTAAACCATGAGGGTTGAATGACCAGGTCCACAGCACTCTCCTTAAATTGCTCCAAAAGCTTACCAGGAAGTGCAGAAAATCTCTCACTACCCCAATCTCCAATTATAAACATGTTTCCCCAACTCTGGAGGCTGACAGTTTATAAATGAAAAAACTTCAACAACATGGTGATCACTGTTAATAACACTGTACTGTATATCTCAAAGTTGCAAAAAAGAGTACATCTTACAAGTTCTCACTGCAAGGAAAAAATGTTGTAACTGTGGTGACAGACGTTAACTAGATTTATTGTGCTCATCATTTTGCAACACACGCCAATACTGAATTGTTACGTTGTACACCTAAGACTAGCATATGTCCACTATACCTCAAACTCTTTTTGAAGAAAAAACTTTTAAAGTTCATGTGCATGACAGGGTCCCTGAGTGGCTCAGTCAGTTTGGCCTCTGCCTTTGGATCAGGTCATGATCCCGGGGTCCCAGGATTGAGTCCCACACTGGGATTCCTGCTCAGCAGGGAGTCTGCTTATCCCTCTCCCTCTGCCCCTCCCCCACCACTCCACCCCTACTCAGGCTTGCTCTCTCCCTAACCCACTCTCCCCTCCCCCAACCTTTCAAATAAATAGTTTTTAAAAATTCATGTGCACGTTTAATATTATGCAGTGGAAATACCAAAGAGCGAGATGGACAAGTGAAAATGAATGAGAGGAACCAAATTCTTTTTTTTTTTTTTTTTAAGATTTTATTTATTTATTTGACAGAGAAAGCACGCACAAGTAGGCAGAGTGGTAGGCAGAGGGAGAGAGACAAACAGGCTCTCCACTGAGCAGGGAGCCCGACATGGGGCTCGATCCCAGGACCCCAGAATCATGACCTGAGCCGAAGGCAGCCACTTAACCGACCGAGCCACCCAGGCGCCCCAAGAGTAACCAAATTTTATCCTGTTTTTTTCCAACACTTGAAATTTTCTGAAGAAAGGCCACATCCCATGTGGATGCCAAGACTACATCTTGGCAGGAACTCCCGAATTTTCCTCCAGTTCAAGAGTTGCCAAACTACAGCCCAAAGGCTGAATCCTGCCAGCCACCTGTTTCTGTACACTGCCCATACGCCTAGTTTTCAGTTTGTTTTGTTTTTAAAGATTTTATTTATTTATTTGACAGAGAGAGACACAGCAGGAGAGGGAACAGAAGCAGGCTTCCCGCTGAGCAGGGAGCCCGATAAGGGGTTCCATCCCAGCACCCTGGGATCATGACCTGAGCCAAAGGCAGACACTTAACAACTGAGCCACCTGGGCACCCCAAGTTTTCAGTTTTTAAGGGTTGAAAAAATAGAATAGTTCATACATGAACAGCACATGAAGTTAAAATTTGGACGTCCATAAATTTTTATTAGGACACAATGACTCTTCATTTATGCCTTATCTGCGGCTGTCAGACTGTAAGAACTGAGTCCACCAGCAGGGCACCGCCTCCCGGAGGGCAAAGAAGATGCTCCATCGGGCGAGGGAAGAAAATCCTAGAGTTACATTAATTTGTATCCAAAAGTGTGAGAGCAACTACGTTTCAGTAATTTAACTATCAGATAAAAATAACTTGCAAGTACATACATATACTAATTATGTTATTTTATACTACATTACATTATGCTAATTCTATTATACTACCATGAAATAAATACTAACAGTGGTAATAAGAGTAGAAACTGACTCTGCATTTTAAGTCTCTCTGTTGAAGGTCACAAGTCACCACCCTCTGAGGGCCCTGAAGAACTCCTCTGACTCAGTTCGGCACTGAGCGGTGGGCAGACAAATTCTAACTACACTAAACCTTACAGAGACTAGGAAGCTTTACCATTCGTATAAAAGGCACGAACTGAATTTACTCTGATAAATGTAAGCATGGGCAAACACAAACCCACCGCTGGGAAGGCACAGGTTTCTGATGCAGTTCTGCGTTAGCCATGTCACAAAGTAAAACCTATGGTGATACAATCAGATCTGACAAGAAACAGGCCAAAAATACTTACAATTCAAGGAGTATATGAAAGAGGGGTCTACTCCCACTGTCACTAAGCATGAATCCAGCCCTGAGGGTATCCTGGGCCTTGAGATATGAGACAGTAACAACAGGACGTGCACCTAACTGATAAATTTGCAACATACAGGCCAGGGCTAACCATTTTAATTGAGATAATTGATACGTAACACTGAATTAATTTTAAGTTTTTGTTTATTTCTTATTATTTTTAAAGATTTTAAAAATAAAATAAAATAAAGATTTTATTTGACAGAGAGATGGTGAGAGAGGAAACACAAGCAGGAGGAGTGTGAGGAGAAGCAGGCTCCCTGCTGAGCAGAGAGCCTGATAAGGGGCTGATCCCAGGACCCCAGGATCAGGATCGTGACTTGAGCCGAAGGCAGATGCTTAATGACTGAGCCACCCAGGCACCCCAAGTTTTTCTTTTTTGAAGTAATGATAAAGATCAAAAAAGTTTGGAAACCACAGCAAACTACCGTCTATATCAACATGCTCAGATTATATAGTACTCTTCGTATCTTTTCCTCCTGTCAGGCATTAATTAATCTTCAAAATCTTAGCTAGGGGAAGTTCTATTAAAGTTCTTATAAAAATAAGACCAAAATATTATAACAATCAGAGAAGGCATGATCTTTTTTTTTTTTTTTCCCCTGGAAATGTAGGAAATTACTGTGTGAAACAAAGTAGACTCCCTGGGAACCTGGTAAGCATTTCTGAAACTTCAAGCCAAGTTTTCTCATGTAATGTCATCACTAACTGGAAAAGTCTAGAAAAGAAAATGACCACAACCTAAGAATGTTTTTTGCTAGAGGAAGCGGGAAGCAGGAAGCAGGCAAATGAAATACCACTCACACTTTTCAAAGGTTCAGACAAAACATATCAAGACCATTCTTCCTACTTTTGTGGGCGCGCGCACACATGCACAAACACGTGCACACACACATACACACACAAAACCAAACCAAAACAAAAAACTAAGACTTTGTTTTAGCTTTTTTTTTTTTCTTTAACAACAACCAAAAAAGAAGTGTTTCTTTTTTCCTTATCCCAATGAGGGATGTTACTTCTCACCTTAGGTCGTTAAACAGGTAATAAAACAATACAACCACATTAAAGCCAGGGCATGGGGCCTCCTATCCCTAATCTGGGCCTCCTGCCCTCCCTTTCCTGGGGCTGGCCTTCTCTGGAGGCTAGGCCACCTTCAAGCTCCCCTTCACTAAGGTACCAGCCAGGGGGCTGTGCTTCCCCAGGCTCTGCCTTTTCTACCCTTTGCGCTTCAGATGCAGAAAGCCTGTCTGCACATTCACAGGATTTTCAATAAGGTCAGCAGTTTCCTCCCTGCTGGGGGGAAGGTGGCCACACAAACCCCTAGGCCAGACACCGTCAACCATCCCCACTTCTGTTTCCGTCCCACCCCTCAAAAAATAACATAAATACAAAATCTTTTCATCCCCCATCAATAACTAGGCCCATGGCCAGCAATTAGAAAGGAGATGGCATCCTTTGCTCCAGCAGCAATGTCATCCATATCTGTTACCCGCCCCCCCTCCCGCACTCCCAACTACTCCTTCCTCTCATTCTTGGTCCTTCATTTTTGAACAAAACTGATGGGGGAAAAATGTGATAACCTCTCCATAGGAGAACAAAATACATTTGGAAGAGCTGATAGTTTTCTTTAAACATCTTCAGAATTCAATGTCTTTTTGACCACCGATACCTTAAAAATTGAGTTCTGGCCCAGGGACAGAAATCTTACTAAATTACTGCTTTCTATTCACAAATAAAATTATTCTTCCCGTGCATAAGCTTACCTTAATCTTCTTTAACACAAGCAGGAGAGGCCAGAATGCCCTAGGAGACCCACAAGGACCAGTCAGCCTAGAGACTCCACTGCTCCCCGGTCTCATGCTCCAAAAATTTCAGAAATACTAAAAGTGCCTAAATTTGAGTGAGTCTGATGGCTGTAAGCCAAACAGAGTCACTCGAAAGCTGTTAAATATTTCATCAGACTGTGGGACATCTTAATAATCCTACCCCCAGGAATGTCCCTCAACATTTGCAGAATTTCGAGCTTGGGGCCTTGGAGACCCCAAACCAGACAAAGAAAATCTCAGACCCACAAAAGCCACACAAGTTTGGTTAGGCAAATTTGGAAAACAGATATCTGAAAATGACCAACAACATCACCGCATTCCCAATACAATGGTCCTTAAATTCCGCTAAAAAGAACATCCATCAAAGTAGGTATTTTCTTACTTTACCTAAAAAAGAAAAAATCATTACAAACATCAAACACGGTGTGAAACAGAAACGGTATATAAAGTCAGGAGACAGTTTTTACAGCAGAGCAGAAGTTCTGTGGATGCCCCCACACAGTCATGGGTGGGAAACACACGAAGGACGGAACCTGGAGCATCCCAGAGACCGGCTCCGGATGCTGCGGCGGCTCGCGACCCAGGGACCCGGCGCCCAGCTCGCGGTCACCTGCCGGGACGCGACCTCTGCCAACGTGGGCGCCCGAGCGCCAGGACGCGGAAGCGAGGGCGCGCGGCGGCCACCCGCTCTCCCCCGGCGCCCGTCACGCCCGCGGGACCCGCACTAGTGCGACTTCGGGCTGCACGCTTCCGACTTCGGATGCCGACGCGCGTGACACAGCGGAGAACAAAAAAGAAAGGCCCCGCACGCCCCAGACCGGCCTCCGCCGGGGCAGAGAGCCCTCGCACAGCCCCTCGCGACGGCCGGGGGCCTGGGGGTGGCGGCGGCCCCGGCGCCAAGGCTCCGGCCCCGCGCGGGTTCCGGTGACAGGCTGCGGCCAGGGCGCGGGCCCCGGGCCGGGAAGGACGGGGGAGAGGGAAGGCGGCCAGGGCGGCCCGGGAGCCGCGCACTCACCTCCTGCCGCGGCTCCGGCGGCCCCTCAGCGCTGCCCGCCCGGCTCCAGGAACGCCCGCTGCTCTCCGGCAGCCGCCGGACTCGCGCCCTCGCCCGCTCCGCGGCTTGCACCCCGCGCCGCCGCGTCTCTGGCCTCCGCAGCGGCGAGTCCCCGCCCCCGGACCGCGCAGGCGGCGTGGGGAGGAGGCGGCGCCGCGAGCGCGGGGCGGCGAGGCCGGGGGCGCGCCCGGACGCCGGCCCCACGGTGCGCGCGCCCCAGCCCATGACCGCCCCTCCGCCCCAGCCCGGGCTCCGGTGTCGCGTACCCTCCGCGACCGCCGTCCCCATCCCCGCCCCACGCGGCTCCGAAGCAGCAGGGGAGCGGGCCCCGAGCGTCCTAAGGACGTGCAAGGATGGGAAGCGGCGGCGCGGAGCGAAAGGACCTGGAGGAGTGACGACCTCTCACCTCACCCCCAACCCGGGCCAGAGGGAATTTTCTGGAATGTAGGGCCGACTCTATCCAGCGCCACCCACCTTGCCACACTCGCGTCTCCTTCAGTGGTCCCGGCCCAAACCACCCAGAGGAAAAGGGGCCAAAGGAATAGCAGGAATTTAGGGGGTCTAGCCTCACAGATTTGACTTTTATCTTCCACCAATCCGTCCCAGTTCCTGGTCTCCCCACGACTGTTTATCCCTCAAGCTTTAATTTTTCGGCCTGTGGCCCTCCGGACTCCTTGTGGGTAAGATGAAGATTCTCAGACGCTGCTCAAGTGTGATCTTCTAGTACTCTCTGAGGACGAAGCTCGGGAGTCTGATTTTTAAACAGCGCTCGGAACGCACGTTTGCTCCAGAAGCCCCGCTAGGCCACGCCTCCCTGAGAGGGTGCCACAAAACGAATGATCTGCTGGATACCCATTCTAGAAAATTCTAAAACACTGGTTCTTAACCCTGACAGCACTGGCCAGACGTTAAATATATATATATATATCTGGGAGCTTTTAGAGTATTTGGATGCCAGGGTCCCACCTCCAGAGTTCTGAGCCCAAACATGGGTAGTTTTGTTTGCTATAAAGCTTGCCAGATAATTATAACATATGGTCAGCACTAAGAATAAATTCCAGGTTTATCGCTTTTCGAGCCTACCTAGCTCTGACTTCTGGAAAAGGAACCTCTTCCTGTCACCCTTCCCAGCTCGCTCTCTCTCTCTCTCTCTCTCTCTCTCTCTCACACACACACACACACACACACAACAACTACAGCAACAAACAACACAAGTAAATACACAAACTCCTAAGGGAATGCTCGCAGCCAAAATGGTTTTCAACCAGAACAAAGACTCACCTTGAAAAGACCACCAAGATTCCTTACTACCACTTGAGCATGGTCTCAAATTCAGGAAAAGGATCCTTTATGAGCCAAAAACCTCCTAACTGAATTTAAGTAATAGAGTAATAGTCTATAGCCCAAAATGATATTTTTGTGACCTGCTGTTAGACCATTGTCCTGCTGGACCAAGACTGCAAAAGCCAGGGGTGCGTTGGACATCCGCCTTGTATCACTCCTTTCTAATCTTCTACTAACTGTAAGTGACTTGTATCACTCCTTGTATCACTCCTTTTCGGATGACTTGTATCACTCCTTTCTAATCTTCTACTAACTGTAAGTGACTACAATCAGGATTTTTGGGTAGGTACAGTAAATTGCTCCTTCTGGCTTCCCTAGTTATGTTCTGCCTTCTTAGGCTGGTGGGCCATAACTTGCACCTCATTTGCCTCTAACTAAGGTTCCTTTGTGTGACTAAGCTAGTGATTTTTTCCCCAGTTTTATTGAGAAATAATTGACCTACCTCTCTGTGTAAGTTTAAGGTGTTCAGCATGATGGTTTGATTTATAGGTATTGTAAAATGATTACCACAGTAGGTTCAGCTAACTTCCAGCTTCTCATATAGGACAGTTTTGTTGTTTTTGTTTTCCATTTTCTTTTCAGTGTTCCAAAATTCATTGTTTATGCACCACATGCAGTGCTCCATACAATACGTGCCCTCCTTAATACCCACCACCAGGCTCACCCCACCCTCCCCCCTTCCAAAACCTTCAGTTTGTTTCTCAAAGTCCACAGCCTCTCTTGGTTCATCTCCCCACCCCTCCATTCCCCCCAGCTCACTTCTCCTCCCCATCTCCCAATGTCTTCCGTGTTATTCCTTATGCTCCACAAGTAAGTGAAACCATATGATAATTGACTCTCTCTGCTTGACTTATGTCAGTCAGCATAATCTCCTCCAGTCCCGTCCATGTTGATATAGAAGTTGGGTATTCATCCTTTCTGATGGAGGCACAATTCTCCATTGTATATATGGACTATAGTACAATTGTTTAAAAAGAAGAAGAAAAAAGGAAGAAAAAATTTCTTGTTGTGATGAGAACTCTTATGATTTACTCTGCTAACCACTTTCTATAAATCATACAGCCATGTTAGCAGTAGGCATCACGTTGTACGTCACAACCCTTGGTACCTATTTATCTTATAACTGCAAATCTGTACCTTTTGAAACTTCTCTGATTCCCCCCTCCTCACCCAACCACCTCTGGTGACCACAAGTCTGATCTTCTTTCCCTAAGATTTTTTTTTTTAAGACTCCATATATAAGTGAAATCATACAGTACTTGTCTTTGTCTGATTTATTTCACTTAGCATAATGCCCTTAAGGCCTGTGTTGTCATAAATGGTAGGATTTTCTTTTTATGGCTGAATAATATTCCACTATGTGTGTGTGTATGCATAAATATGCACACATACCACATGCCTATCCATGCATCCATTGATGGACACTTAAGTTGTTTCCATGTCTTGGCTATTATAATGCTGCTGTGAATATGGGGGTGTATATATCTTTTCAAGTTAATGTTTTTGTTTCTTTGAATAAATACCCAGGAGTGGAATTAAAAAATTAAAAAAATTTTTTTTAATTTTTGAGGCTCTTCCATACTGTTTACCATAGTTAAACCTGTGATTCTTTTTTTTTCTTTTTACGTAGGCTCCACACCCAGTGTAGAGACGACAGTGGGGCTTGAACTCATGACCCTGAGATCAAGACCTGAGTGAATATCAAGAGTTGGATGCTTAACCGACTGAACCACCCAGGAGCCCCCAGCCCTTAATTCTTTTTTTTTTTTAATTTAAATTCATTTAACAAACATAGAGTACATACTTAGTTTCAGATGTAGTGTTCAATAATTTATCCATTGCATATAACCCCCAGTGCTCATCACATCACTTGCCCTCCTTAATGCCCATCACCCAGTGACCCAATCCCCCACCTCCTTCCCCTCCATCATCCCTCAGATGAGAGTCTCTCATAGTTTTTCTCCCTCTCTGATGACTTCCCATTCAGTTTTCCCTCCCTTCCCCTATGATCCTCTGCGCTGTTCCTTATTTTCCGCATATGAGTGAAGCCATATGATAATTGTCTTTCTCTGATTGACTTATTTCACTCAGCATAACAGGCCCCCTCATTCCATCCACCTTGATGTAAATGTGAAGTATTCATCCTTTCTGATGGCTGAGTAATATTCCATTATATATACGAACCATATCTTCTTTATCCATTCATCTGTTGGTGGACATCTTGGCTCTTTCCACAGTTTGGCTATTGTGGACATTGCTGCTATGAACATTGGGGTGCAGGTGCCCCTTTGGATCACTACATTTGTATCTTTGGGGTAAATATACCTAGCAGTGCAATCTCCCAGCCCATGATTCTTAAACATTTATGGAACAGGCCCACATGTCTAGGTGTTAGGGCAGTTGTTTGAATCAATACATCTTTGCTGAGGGGGAGGAGTCCTTTCCAAGTTTCATGAGACTCCTTATGATGAAATTTGGCATTTAAAAAAAAAAAAAGACTTATTTTATTTATTTATTTTAGAAAAAGAGTGCTTGAGCTGGGGGGAGAAGCAGAGAGAGAGAGAGAAAGACACACTGCTGAGCACAGAGCCCAGTGGGTGGGGCTCCATCCTAAGACTCTGAGATCATGACCTGAGCTGACACCAATAGTCAGTGACTCAACTGACTGAGCCACCCAGGCACCCTGAAATTTGGCATTGAAAAGATGCAGGTAAACATATAGGATTTGCATTCTATAAAGTTCTCTTTGATTTCTTCAAGGCCTCTCACCCAAAATATTTAAACTAATCAATCGCCAGCCCTAAAAATTCAGCTAGGTCGATTCTGATTCACTGACATGCAAGGGGCTGTGGTGGCTGGTTGGAGTGGGCATCTGTGTTTTGTCTGTTCAACTTCCTTTCCCATCACTTCTCAGCCTTTTGTCTAAGGTCAAGTGTAGCATCCTTTCCCTCACTTGCTAGTAACACACTGTTTTCATACAGGAATCTCCTCCCATCCCCAAAGGATATAGCCTTGGTAGATTGTCAGTCAAAGCAATGTTCTCTCCAGCTCAAGGGATGGGCCTTATATAAGTTTCCTATTTGCTGCTCTAACAAATCATTCAACTTAAACCAACACAAATTTAGTATCTTAAAGCTCTGTAGGTCAAAACTTTCACCAAGGCGTCAGCAGGGCTGCATTCCTCTCTAGAGACTCTAGAGAAATCCCTTTCTTGCCTTTTCCAGCTGCTAAATTCTCCCTGCCTTCCTGGGTTTGTGACCCCCTCCCTCCACCTTCAAAACCAGTAATTTTATAGTTAGTAACATCTTTCTAATCCTGCTTCTACAGTCACATCTGTCAGATCCAATTGGAAAGTTTTCCTCACTTCTTAGAATCCTTGTGGTTGATTACACTGGTCTCACCCAAATAATGCAAGATAATCTTTCTACCTCAAGGCCCTTAACTTAATCACATCTGTAAAGGTCCCTTTTGCATGTAAGGTCACATTAACAGACTCCTAGGATGAACACATGGACATCTTGGGGGGGGGCATTATTCTGCCTATCAGAGACCCCTAAACTTAGCCAGTCCATTGCCCTCTGTTCCTGGAATGAACAAAGTGAAGATTTGAGGACTGAAAAATATTGAAATGGGGCGCCTGGGAGGCTCAGTGGGTTAAAGCCTCTGCCTTCGGCTCCAGTCATGATCCCATCCGGCTCTCTGCTCCGCAGGGAGCCTGCTTCACTTCCTCTCTCTGCCTGCCTCTT